TTACGTTATCTTATCAGTTGTTGGAATAGGCTGCTGAACGTGGTTTGGTGAGACAGAAAAACTTGCTAGTGAATTGGAGCAAGAAGTAGTACATATATTGCTTTTTTAGATGTCAGTCTTGCACTTTTAGGCATATGCAAGCTTAATGGTCTGCCTGTCTGTATCATTTTCTCCTGGAATGACAGCTTAATAGTTTTCCTGGTTGGATTGTATTAAAGTCTTTCAAGGCTACATTCACTAAAACATATGTGTGATGTTTGGGCAGCCAATGTCTGTGTGATCATTTTAAGGGAGTATAATTTAGCCCCTGTTACCACAGATATGGCATTGTTAAAGCTACGTTAGTGTGTGTGTTTTGATGCTATTGATTTCCTGACAAAACCCATTTTCAAGGTAGTGTAATAGCACTTACACATCTCCAAGAACGTTTTTAACTATGAAATAAGATTATAAATTAAGCAATAGCATAAATTTTAAAACACAACACATATACATATAATATACAGTTAAGCAGTGTGTGCTAATAGATTTTTTTGTCCAGTTCATTGTCTGGGAGAATTCACCGTGTTCAGGGCATTGTGCCAGGTGTCCTGCGTGGACAACTTTACTTTGTCACCACTACTGAAGATGTGTTAGAGGGTGGACGGTGGGGCAGCGTTACCAAGTGGCCACACGAGAAACAAATGACCTTCAAGGCTTCCCCGGAAGGGGTGTTGAGATGTCTTGTTAGCAGTGCCTTGTGCTCAGGGCTGGGGTTCTGTTCGCTTTTCTTTTGATGGGATGCTGCTGCCGCACGGTGGAAAAAGTGACGATTTGGAATGATGAGAAAATTCCTAGACTTTCAGGACAGTTTGAAGTATTCCTGAGGCTGGGGATTTAGCTCAGCGGCACAGTGCCTGCCTGGCAAGCGCAAGGTCGTGAGTTCGCTTCTGGGTACCGGAAACAAACAAACAAACAAACAAACGAACAACAACAAAAAAGGAAAGAAAGTATTCCTGAAAGATCTTCAAAGGCCTTGCAGAGAATAGTCTTTCTCTTTTGAAGCACAAGATAGGGAGAAGTGAGTCACACTCCACACCTTTAATCGGCCTGGCTTTGCTGCGGCCATTTGTCATTTGAACTCATTGGTTCCCAGCGTGCAGCAGGCCAGGACGAGGCGCAGTTTTCACGGGTGAAAAGAGAAGCAGGTACACAAAGTCCAGTCTTGCGTGATCTTTCCTGGCTTTGACTGGTTCAGTTTTCATAGTGAAAAGTTGTTTAAACACTTACAAATTTTTTCAAGTGGACAAGTAAATGTATTTCAGAAGAAAATTTCAAAGTTAAAAACAAAATTCTTCCAAAGAAAAGGAGCTTTAAAGTATTATTAGTTTTTATATCTATTGTTACTTATTTTTTTTAAATTAATGGCAATTCACATTCAAAAGTACCGTATTTTTTACTGTCTAAATGCATAAAAACGTTAAATCGGGTTAGACAGATTTCCTGGCAGTGGTATATTACTTTGCCTACATGTGCAAATATTAAAAGACGGTTATAGTTGAAAAAAACCTCATTTGATAAGAATAGCAGAATACCTAATTTAATTACACAGAATTGAAAGAGTAACATTCTCTTGAGCAAATGTATGATGATCTCATTTTGACGAGTGTTAATTTCCAAATTTTATAGCAGTCCTTAGGAATTTTAGTGATTTAAAATTACAAATGATAAAATCATATATCAAATAGGATTTCTGTTATACCTAAAAAAATGATTGAACTGTATTGACACTTCAATGTATGCTAATTATTTGAGATTATGACTGAAATGTATCAGTGTTATTTCTGTAATTTGATTTTTCAGCACTGTGTACTTTTTTCTTTTGAGATAGGCTCTGGCTGTGTAGCTGGCCTCGAACTCATGGCGATCCTCTTGCCTCAGTTTCCTGAGTGCTGCAATTAGAGGTGTGTGCCACCATGCCCAGCTGACCTAACTCTGTTTTACACATTTAAAAACCTTTCAGATAACAGAGATTATTTTTAAGAAGAAAAGAAAGAACTGTGAGCTACTTCCAAATTAAATGAAACCTTGACCGAAAATGCCCAGCGCAGAGCAAGCTGCCCAGCGGTCTCCGCGGCAGTCGTTGATAACCGGGGTTGTTACCTCCAGCTTCCCCTGGCACAGCCTCTCCTTTACTTACTTGTACGCAGTGGCGATTTCCATGAGCTCAGACTGTGATTACGTTCTCTTGTGTCCACACGCTTGCTCCTGTTGTGTCAGACATTTTTGGAATTACTCTGTTCAACAGAGAGAGCAAACTGCTTGCTTATTTGTTTTGCATTACTAGGAACCAAACCCCGGGATTTCTGATGTATATCCCCAGCCGTTTGTATTTTGTTTTTTTGAGACAGGGGCTCACAAAGTTACCCATACTTTTGTGTGTGTATCTAATATACAAAGATGTTGAAGAACTTGACTATCTCTGATTCCAAAATTTTATTTTTTATTGTATTGAGCATCCACTTTCTTGAGGTTTAAGTGAGGAGCTGGATGTGACCCTGCATAGCGTGCTGTGGGTCACACAGGCAGTGGGAGAGGATGACTGATGGGCTTTCAGGGTACCTGTTTTGTCCCTGAAGCCTGAGATCTTCCCATCCTGTTCTTCCTGAAGGTAGTTCTATGGGATCATTTTAAAATGTCAGTTTGATTCTTGAATTATAATGATAACATAACCTTCAGCATTAATTCAGCGGCTTTCTTTTTTCATTTATTTTAATGAGAATCTTTTCTCTTTTTTTTGTCTTTTTGAGACAGGATCTTGCTATGTAGTTCAGGCTGGCCTGGCCTTGAGCTCACTTTGTAGCCCACGCTGGTCTCAAATTCGCAGTGATCCTCCTGCCTCAGCCTCCTGAGTGCTGGGATTACAGGCGTGCGCCACCATGCCTGGCTAGAATATTTTCAGTAATCTAAAAATACATAAAGTGAAAAATAAAATTTCTTCTGTATACATCCTTCAGTATCTTTTCTGTATGAGAAAAGACTTTTGGTAGTCTTTATAGATATTTTTATAGATTTTTGAATCTTTATAGATTTTTACACACGAGCTCAATATATGCACATGTTGAAAAGATACTTTTTTTAGTGTTCCCATTTTTGTGGTGCTGGTTCTTCACAAAAATGAGATTATATTGTCTGTAACTGGCTTATTTTATTAGTGAACTTATCAAAGACACCTTTCCATGTTCACAGTGTTTTCATGGCTGCATAATACTCTAATGTATTAATGCACTTTAGCCTGTTTAACCATTTCCGCACTGAAGGGCACGTAGAACCTCTGTACGTTTCATCCGCTTATATGTCACGTTGCACAGAACCTCCAGATCGGAAACTTTTGTTCTGGGTCTGTGCTGAGCCTGCCATCTTCTCTGTGCAGACTGCAGTGAGCGTCAGCCTTTCTGCCTGGTACCTGTCGGCTCTCAGGGATTATTCTAAAAAGTTATCGTTTGGTCTTGGATAGGCCTGCGCTCCGATTACGAAGGACCAATCTTGGTGTGGGGCTTTAGGGTAAAAGCAGCATTTTTGTAGAAGTTGCTTCCTTCTACCTGCTAGAAATTTAAGATGAACTCTCTAGCTTGGATGGATGTTGGCTGTCGTCTTTCTATATTGGCAGAGTTCTGAGTTTCAGAGGTGTCAGGCTACGAGTAGCACTTTTATAGCAGTTTCCCCTTTCTACCTGTTAGAAATTTCAGATGTGCCGTCTGGGTTGGATGCATATGGGCTACTTCATCTTTCAAAATTGGCAGAGTTCTGAGTTTCAGGGCTTTGTAAAGGTCCTGATTATCAAATCTGCTTTGTAATCGATTAATTTCAAAAGGAAACATCCTTTAAAGAATATTTTGAAGACATTTTTTCCTTTTTGTGGAGCATTTTTGTCTTTTTATACTTTTATCTAGGTACACTGGAATTTAATTTGTGACTTCTACAAATGCCTTAATTAATTGTAGGCACAAAAAGCTAAATACCAATATTCTGAAATTAACATTTCATGGGAGGTGGGTGATATTCATTAAGATGTTCATAAAATTTTATGTTTTTCAGCACTATTTATGTGGTAGATACGGTAATTTATTTTTGTCATGGCTGTTGGCCATATCTGCTGGCTGAGACTGTGGAATGCTCTTTAATTTCTAACCCATAATTGCATAGAATGAATAAAACATTTTGTTTTAGATTCATATTTTTCTTGGGAGATTTCATTTTATTTTCATAAAATAGTAACATTTTAAGAAAGGTGATAACAAATTGTTAGAAAACTGGAGAAGAAATGACCATTTTTCTGTCATAATATGATAATTTTTCAATGTACTTTAAAGTAGTAACTTGCTGTTGATTTTAATACTTTTGCTCTCAACACAGCTGGTATCCTGCTATGATATCATAGCTATACTTTTTGATTTATGATCGTACAGAGTGTATCATGCACGGTGTACAAAACCACTTTAAACAACAGTGAATAGACTTTGCTTTTATGACACTTTCTATATTACAGTGGACCCATGCTCATTAACCAGATTTTAGTGCACGTTTACTATTATTTTTGTAATAATGTCTTATAAGGGTTCCTCAGATAACTAATGGCTTGATTTTTTTTCTTAGCTACAAGTTTTTCATGGTATTTTTGTTTTCCTTTTCCATAAAACTTGTATTTCCTAAGACTACTGTTATTTATATGCATATTTACCCCCAAATGCTAGAAGTACTTTCACTCTTAAATATGAAGAAAAAAATTGATACCGAAGTCTGAACATATGAAATCATTTTATGACACACAAATATGTAAACAATGCAAAAATCAGAAAATTGTCCAGTTGAGAGGGAGTTGTAACTCCTGAGGTATAAAACTGACTTGCTGATTTTGTTTTATTTATTCATTGTAAACATTTTGGTTATGTAATTAAACTATCATCATATACTTGAAATCTGTGTTCTTTTCAATGTCAGGTTTTCTTTTTCTTTCTCAGTCTGTGATCAAAACGGGACGACTCTTAATCAGTCACGAGGCTCCCTTGACAGGTGGTTTTGCATCTGAGATCAGCTCCACAGTTCAGGTAAGATGAGTTGTGGACTCTGGGTTTAACATTTGTGAAGTTGTGTATGTGTATTCCAGGAAGAAAAGAAGTTAATAATCACAGCATCTAAAAGTATGAACTTGTTGAAATTGTAGATTTTCCATTCTATGTTGTCTTTTAATTAATGGTATAATTAAATGTAGTAAAGAAAATTTAAATGAGTAAAAGTGAAAAAGAAAACCTTTGGGGAAAGTGAGTTTGAACTGAGTAATTTATTAACTTTGCTTGTATTTGTTAGATGAGCAGTAACACTCTTTTAAGTTTCAGTCTGATGTTTTTCTTAATAAAACTTAAATAATAGGAAATGGATTGAATGTGAACTTGATCTTAGATTTTCAAAGCTTTTTACCTTCCAGATCTCAAGCTAGTAAAGTGTAAATTGAATAAATACTTTTTAAAATAATTTATTAATTTAATCAATAAGTAAGCCATGTTAGAGGCAATGCTTTAGAAGTGGTTTAAAAGCTTACTTCTGTTTAAAGTTGTTTGTTTCAGATGCCACATGCCAGGAGAAATCCTGTACACCTCTTATCTGCAGGACTTTCACTTAAAACTTTCTTCATTTTTATATCATAGGTATGAATAATTTAAAGGACTTCTATTTTTCCTAATTTTTAAAATTAAACATGAATTATTTTAAATATAGAGCACATGCTTTTTAAACCCAGAATATCTTTGCAGTTTGCACTTTACTGGTGTTAAGGTGCTTTAATTATTAAGACATATCAGTAGAGAATTCCTTTAAGAGTGAGTTGCTTGATAATTTGACATAAAATTATAGTTGATGAATAGTGATAAATTATTTTTAAACATTTAACCAGTAAAAAATGACTTTTACCAGTAAAATATTTTAATTACTAATTAAGGAAATTAAAAATATTTTAAATTAGATGAAGTAAACAAACATAAATAATTCAAAGACTAGATCAGAATTAATGTTACTTTTCTGTTGTGTGTTCACTAACAAAATTAAGGAAAGTTAGCATGTTCATATTTAACTAGTATCATTTAACTACCGTGAGTACCAAGTATTTACTGTATATTTTACTGAGTAGCATAATGAACTAAATTTTCTTAAAAATGGGAATTACAAGAATGAATCATTATAATATGAAAACGTTAATTTCAAGCCAGAGGCAAAACTGGAAAAAGAAACTAGATTTCCTGACGCCTCGTCCATGTGGTGTCCTGGACAATTTAAAATTGCAGTGACTGCCGCTGATAGAAGCTGTGGCAGCCCGCTTCGTTTTAGCCACTGACTGCTTGTTGCCATGCCCAGAGTTCATTTGCACTTAGGAGGAACACCAGTAGAATATACTTTTGATTCCTTTTGTGACATTTGCCCTAAGTATGCTTTAAAAATTTTCTCTCCATAAATTATTCGTGGGCAGTAATTGAATATAACATGGTTTTTAGATGAAAACAACAGAGACAGATGATCTTATGTCTCTTGGTTTTGAATAAGATGATATGGATTCATTTATAGAAAAATGTTTCTGAGGCCCCATGAATACATTAGTGAATCCTTGTTTGAGAAACACTTTATTAAGAGTTAAACAGAGACACTAAAAATAGCTGACACCAAAAATCATGAATATACTCTCAAAATAAGATTCTAAATATATATGATAATAATTGGGAAAAGCTATCAGTGGGATTACCCAGAATACAGTTGTATTCAAATCATAATATGAAGACCCCGAAGTGAGGCATTTAGTAACACTCTCAGACTCCCAGGAATGTGTTCATAGACCCTCAGATGTCCACGGTCTGTAGTTCGAGAAATACTGACCGATGCCAGTGACATTCCACTTACTGTGTTTGTCCTCCAAAATGCCTGTCACTTACCCCATACTTCGTAAACACGGGGCGGGCCTGGACTTGCACAGGTGGCCTGAGTAAGTGTTCAGTGTGTACATCTGCATTCCTGATTCGGAGTCCGCTGTGCCCCAGAGGGAAGTAGAAGTTCTGGGTTCTTCATAAAGTTCTGTTTTCCGTGATAAAGTCGTTGAATCAGTGAAGCACAAAGTGATTTAGCCAGTACTGTGAAGTTTTGTAATGGAGGTCTGCACTTACCATTCTAGGTAATTAAGATTTTGATTTATTAATATGAAGGTGAACTTGAAAATGAACACAGTTGTTTTTACTTAATTCAGATTTTATTTGCACAAGTAGAGGGTGCAGAAAATGAGATTAAATAAAATTTAATGAACTTGATATTCCCACATATTTGCATTTTGTGCGCTTTATGTATTGATAAGGGATATTTTAAAAGTCTTTCACAGTAATGTTTACGTGTCATTTTGTGTGTCTGAGTAAGATCTACTTTTCAGTAACTGTTTTATGCACATATTCAATGTGACACAATGTACTACACGCAGCGTCGTCTCAGTGGTTACTCATATTGTAAGTAAAACCTGTATCAAATTACCAGCGCCTTAGGTTGTATAAACTGAGGTCTTTTTAAGAGTGAGGTGCAGTTGCTTTTGCCCCTTGGAATGATTCATAATTCCATCATCTTTTTTTCTTTTGCTTGCACATAACTTGTAAATTTAAAAAGGATAAAATAGAGTTAACATTAAAAACCAACTTTCTGGGAGAACAGGAAAAATGTATGCAAAGAGATTTTATTGTCATCTTGGAAAAGAAGTTTGAAATTATGAATGAGAGTGATCTGTAAATCTGAATACTATTGATTAAAATACTGAGTTATTCTATGTGAAATGAGTAGATTTCACAAGGTAAATAAAATATTTTGCTTCACAGGCATTATTACGTAAAAGATATCTGGTAGTGTTTTAAAAGCTCATTTAAATTCAATGTAATTTTTTGAAAACAGTATTGTAAGAAAATGGTTAGTAATTTGTTTTATTAACTTCAAATCTAGGTGCACTAAAAACTTGAAATATTCTGTTTTATTCAAATTTAAAATTATTACCCATATTAAAAATAAAATATTGAAGAGCAGTGTAGAGGACATCTTTTTGACTTTATATTTGTTATTTTTAGAGAGAAAAGTTATAATGTGCTGCCTAAGATTAAATATCAAAATAGTGAACATTTTAACCCTGTTTTAGTGTTATTGGCATCACTATGAAAAGATTCCTTTTAGTCATACAGATAAAACAGGGAAAGAAAGTATAGTCATAATTTATATAACTCTCTAATTTACAGCAGATGGCTCTTCTATCAGACAGAGACTTCAGTATCCAAATCTTTTAAGTTTTTTCATGCCTGGTACTTATTCTCCATATACCTACTTATTTAAAAAATATATTGTTAACAGTCTTAGTCTCAGGTAATACTGAACACAAGTGATTAGACTACCTTATATTGATTAGATGTAAAATTTCTCTCTTTATAGATAGATAGATCGATATAAATGATAACAAAAAATTTTTTAAAACAGTGCATTTAATCTGAGTCGCTTTGCATTTCTATTGGATTTAATATGGAAGTTCACTGAGAAGTAGACCGAGCTGAAGCCTGGTGCCTTTGTCCCGCTCTGGGAAAGATTTCCTGGTTGGTCATCCAGAGCTTCCCTGTCTCTTCCCATCTAACTTAACATTACCATCTGTTCTCACTTTGGGGTAAGGAAACTTTTCCCTTTTTTTCTTTCTTTTGACACTTCAAATGCTGCTTGAAGCTATGTATTGTGCACGCTGATGTGTAGAAACATGCAGACAGCAGAGTTTAGATAATTTATCGACCTTTCTATTCTGTAGGAATTTCATTGGTTTAGAAAATGACATACATTAATTTTATGGTACGCTTGTATTCCTCATCTTTATATAACCACTGTTTGAACGTTTTTCTTCTCAAAGAAAGTATTCACTTCATCTATTTTCATAGTCACCCAAATTAATGTGTATATTTTAGCATGCAGGATTCAATACAAGTATTATCTATTTATTAAATGTTACAACCAAATAATTTGTGGTGTTTTAACAACTTTAACACAATTTCTCTAATTGTTGTAGAGGTCAAGTTTATTATTAATTTCATATACATGATAAAATAGGCTTGTTTCTGGTACAATTGTGTGATAATAAAAGAAGAGTTTTTTTGTTTGGATTTAATACTTAATAAGAGTGCCAAAAATTTTAGGGATTGTGGTTGGCTTAAAGGTTTGAGGTTTTTCTTTTTTTTTTTTTTAACACATGGAAGCAATAAGTCTGCAGTAAAGAGTCCAGTTGGAGAGGATGGTAAGTTTCCATACCATTGTTTTATCCTCTCTGTGCGGTCTCTTTTCTGAGAATAAGAACTCAGAAGAGTGTGCGTTCCGACATATATTTTTAAGGTAATCAGGTTCTGATAGTTTAAAAGGATTTTTATAGGGCCCACACGAATCAGTGTGTGGAAAGTTTCATAACTTTCAACAAAAGAATTTTGCTCTTATTGTTCCACTTTAGGAAGGTTTGTTGAGAGGGATTTTTTTTCTTACGCACTTACTACTACCAAATATATAAGCATTGTGTGTAAGTACATCAGTCTAAAAGAGAGGAGAACATCCTCAATGGTACTGATTTTTACCGCTCCGTGAAGTGTTTAACTAATATTACCAAGTGGATCTATTCAGAGAAATCCAGAAAAACGGTCAGGGGAGTAATGTGATGAGTACTTCATTGCAATTTTGTATTCTCAATTTAAAAAAAAATTCACCTATAATGGAAAACATTTGCCAACAACCACAGTAAATTAATCAGGAGAAGTATGCTTTTGTGCTAGAAGATGGAGCCAGAGCATCAAAAAAGCAGTTTCGCTCCGAGTGTTCAAATACAGGATGGCCTCTTTAAAGTGCAGTTCTGCCCTGAAGCCTGTTAAGCATTCTGTAAACAACTTCTGTGGCCAAAGAGAGGCACCAAAGCCTGAGTCTCTTCAGGGGTGAATAGCGGGTGAGTTCACTTGATGACTATGTGCGGTGAGACCTGCGGTGTGCGCTCTCGGTTCTCGTCCCTGCTCGGGTCCCCTCCCAGGTC